GTGCTGGCTAGGGAATTCTGGAAGTTCCACCCATCTTAAATTCGCCAGGCTTGTGAAATACTGCTGTAAAGAGAATAATGTGATTTTGGCTCAGTCCTTCCCCATATAGCTAAGTCTATCTCCGAAATTTGTAGTTTGCGGGATATAATGGAGAAGAATGGAAAGTGCTCTTAAAAAGAGAAAATGTTGAAGTTTTTTTTTTTTTAATATAATAGTACGCCCCAAAAATACGCCAAATATTCCTTCCTCAAGCCTTCGAGAAGCAAAATAGAAACTGGAATAAAGCAGGCAAGAGACTTGCAATTTTCCTCCCCTACCAAGAAAGATATTAAAGCAAAGAATTTCAGCAAATCGGATATTGAGAAATGCTTGCAAGCAGGAAAATCCAGAATTAAGGAAGCCCAGAATGTTAACCACAGCGTCTGCCTCGTGGCTGGAGATGATGCAATTTAATCCCAGGGTTCTGAGACCGCAAGGAAATTTCAGCCTTAGGAAATCTCTTGGTCTGTTTTGAAGGCGGGCATTCTTCACCCCATCATCCTCTGCCTGCGTGGGATTTTTGGCCGTTCAAATAGGCACCGTAACCTCGTCTGGAGGGCGCTGTCCGTCAAAATGCAAAGAGAACCGTGAACAAATTAAATTGGGGATGGCAAGGGTGTAAAGAGATAGATAGGTGATAGAGATAGATAGATGATAGATAGATGATAGATAGATAGATAGATAGATAGATAGATAGATAGATAGATAGATATGGATGGGTGATTGATAGATGATAGAGAGATAGATGATCGAGAGAGAGATGTAGAGATAGATAGATAATAGATGGGAGAGATATGATTGATAGATGATAGATGAGAGAGATGATAGATGATTGATGAGAGAGATATAGATGAGAGAGAAGTAGAGATAGATAATAGATGAGAGAGAGATGATTGATAGACAGATGAGAGAGAGATGATAGATGAGAGAGATGTAGATAGATGAGAGAGAGATGAGAGAGAAATAGATGAGAGGAGAGATGATAGAGATAGATGTAGATAGATTAGATGATAGATAAATGATAGAGATGATAGAAATAGATGAGAGAGAGCTGTAGATAAGTGATAAGATGATTGAGAGATAGAGAGATGATATAGATGTATAGATAGATGAGAGATGAGAGAGATAGATATAGATAGATGAGAGAGAGATGAGAGAGAGGTAGATAGATAATAGATAGAGATAGATATACATATATACAGTATATCTGGATGAGTTTTATGTCCCGTTCAAATCCTCAAGATTTCCGCACTTTTGAAAAAAATAGACTGGCTTTGGGTTAGAAAAATACATCTGAAGTTACAGTTAGTCTTCAATTTACAACCGTAGTGGAGCCCCAAATTCCTGTTGCTAAGTGAGACAGTTGTTAAGTGAGTTTTGCCCCATTTTGTGAGCTTTCTTGCTACGGTTGTTAAGTGAGACACTGCCGTTGTTAAGTTAGGAACACAGTTGTTAAGTGACTCTGGCTTCCCCATCGACATTGCTGGTTGCAAAAAAGCATCACATGACCTCCCCCAGGACATGGCGACCGTCGTAAATGTGAGTCAGTTGTCAAACATCTGAATTTCAGTCGTGACCACGTGGATGCTGCAGTGATCGTAAGTGAAACACAGCCGTACGTCACATTTTCAGTGCTGTTGTAACTTCTCACGGTCACTAAATGAATGGTTGTAAATCAAGGAGAAGTAGAGATAGATAATAGATGAGAGAGAGATGATTGATAGACAGATGAGTGAGAGATGAGAGACTTACTTGACTTACAACCGTTCGCTTAGTTACTTCAAAGTTACCATGGCACGGGGAAAAAGTGGGTTATGACCGTTTTTCACACTTACGACCGCTGCCGCATCCCCACGGTTCCGTGATTTACGTTCGGATGCCTGACAACTGACTCACATTTACAACGGTTGCCTTGTCCTGGGGAGGTCACGTGATCCCCTTTTGCGACCTTCTGACAAGCAAAGTCAACGGGGAAGCCCGATTCACTTAACTGTGTTCCTAACAAACAATGGCAGTGTTTCACTTAACAACCGTGGCAAGAAAGCTCACAAAATGGGGCAAAACTCATTTAACAACTGTCTTGCTTAGAACAGAACAGAACAGAATAGAATAGAATAGAATAGAATAGAATTAGAAAAAATAGAATAGAATAGAATAGAATAGAATAGAATAGAATAGAATAGAATAGAATAAATAATAGAACGAATAGAACAGAATAAAGAATAGAAAGATTAGAATAAAGAATAAAAATAGAAATAATAGAATAAAGAATAGAAAAAAATAGAATAGAAGAATAGAAATAGAAATAGAAAAAATAGAATAAAGAAAAGAAAAATAGAATAGAATAAAGAATAGAAAGAATAGAATAGAATAAAGAATAGAAATTGAAATAATAGATATAGAATAGAATAGAATAAAGAATAGAAAGAATAGAATAAAGAATAGAAATAGAAATAATAGAATGGAATAGGAATAGAATAGAATAGAATTCTTTATTGGCCAAATGTGATTGGACACACAAGGAATTTGTCTTGGTGCAAATGCTCCCAGTGAACATAAAAGAAAAGAGACATTCATCAAGAGTCAAGAATCATAAGGTGCAACACTTAATGATAGTCATGGGGTACAATAAGCAATTGATTCATACTAGGAAACAGTCAATATAGATCATAAGGATACAAGCGACAAAGTTACAGTCATACAGTCACAAGTGGGAGGGGATGGGTGATAAGGAGTGATGAGAAGATTAACAGTAATAGTAGTGCAGACCTTGTAAATAGTTGGACAGTGTTGAGGGAATTATTTGTTTAGCAGAGTGATGGTGTTTGGGGAAAAACTGTCCTTGTGTCTAGTTGTTCTGGTGTGCAGGGCTCTATAGCGTCGTTTTGAGGGTAGGAGTTGAAACAGTTTATGTCCGGGATGTGAGGGGTCTGTAGATATTTTCACAGCCTTCTTTTTGACTCATGCAGGATACAGGTCCTCCATGGAAGGCAGGTTGGTAGCAATGATTTTTTTCTGCGGTCCTAATTATCCTCTGGCGTCTGTGTCTGTCCTGTTGGGTTGCAGAACCAAACCAGACCGTTATAGAGGTGCAGATGACAGACTCCGTCCTTCCTCTGTAGAACTGGATCAGCAGCTCCTTTTGGGCAGTTTGAGCTTCCTGTGTTGGCGCAGAAAGAACATTCTTTGATGTGCCTTTTAGCAACAGGAATTTGGGCTCGATTGTGGCCGGCCTATATATAACCTTGAGCAATAAATCTGAACGGCAACTTTTGAAGTCCGAGCCTGGCATAAACCAATTTTAATGAGATTTATTCCCTTTTCTTTCCCCTTGTTTTTCCTTGATTTTTTCCCCCCTATCCAGGATGACATGACCGACTCTCTTCGGGATTACACCAACCTGCCAGAAGCCGCCCCACTCCTCACCATCTTGGACATGTCCGCCCGTGCCAAATACGTCATGGATGTCGAAGAGATCACGCCACCGATCGTGGAAACTTTCGTGAATGACTTTCTGGCCGACAAACTGAAGCCTGAGCCTATCTAAAGCCGAGGTGGGGCAAGGAGAAAGTCTTTCCTCACCCCTCGTAGTAGACGCTATTTAAAAATGGCCGGCTCGGTCCGCCACCACGCCACTCCTTCGGGGCGGGCCGACCGTAATTTTCCCCACGGTGCCTTGTTTTAACCCCAAGAATGATGTCTCTGTCCAAACAGCTTTCCAGGTGCTTTTTTTTTTTTTTTTTTTTTT